GGGGGGGGGGGGGTCACAGGCGAGGGAGAGAGGACTGGCGTGAGGATGTGGGCTTGTTCATTCACCCCGCAGGGGCATCAGCACCCACGCGCCCTGGGCACACTGTGAACTGCCAGGGTTGCCAGCGAACACACGGGCGGAGGCCCTGTCCCTGTTCACTCATTTGTTCAACCCAGTTCCATGGGGTCCCTGAGAGTTTACAGTCCAGGTGCAGACGGGTCACATGCCCATCTATTGCCTGATGTAACAGGCTGGCATGTCCCGAGACGTGTATCCCGATGGGACTCACGGGGGCTTCTAGGAGGAGGCGTGTTGACCCGGGTTGAGCCACCAACCCCACGCGTGGAAACCTCCGGGCTCTGCCGATGCGGCTGCCCCGAGCGCTCTCCACCTCCGCCTTAGCGGCCGATCCACATTCACCTTCAAAACTCACCCCCGGTCGCCCTGCTCCCCAGGGGTGCTCCCCACGCCCAGCCTTGCTTGGCGTTAACCCGGACGCTGTCCCTGCCGCATAGATTACATGGCCCGCTGGTCATCCACGGACGGATCGGTGGTCCCAGTGGCCTAAGTGGTCCCGGAGGAAGTGTCTCATTCACCACCGTGTTCCCCTGAGCCTGGCACAGTGCCCGGGCCACAGCTGGCACGGGAAGGTGTCTGACCCGTGAGAAACATGCGCAAAGGACAAATAAACATGTACACACGGGGAGCTTGTCATTCAGGGAAGGGCCGGGTCCCTGAAAGCGGCATCCACATTGTGACGTCTGTGCCCCCAAAGCTTTGGGAAGAGCCTGGGAAGCAAAGGGGGCAGTGAGTTCGCCCGGGGCCGTGGCCCCTGCCGGTAGGGAGAGCAAAGCTGTTGAGCAGCATCGAGGAAACAGCAACAGCAGCCTGGTCGTCGTTTGATGTTCGGGAGCTTGGAACTTGTGAAACTCCGCACGAGTTTTCCTTTGTCTCCCGCTCACATCGAGTAAATATCATCTTGAACTGAAATCTCCCAAATATCGCCCAGTAGAAGATATTGGCTTAAGGTGTTTCAGGGACCGAGCACCATTGTGCTTAACGTTGAAAGCTCACTGGACTTGGCTTGTCTGGAAGAATTAAGTCAACAGATATTTATGGATTCCCTACTATGTGGTTCATTTAACTCATTAGCAGATTAATTGTAATTTGTAAGGGATTGACATACACTTAAAATATATATATATATTTTTCTATTTCTCTCTAGGTGAAAACGCTTTTTACCTGTCCCCAGATATCAGGAAACAGTGTGATTGGTTCCAAGGGGACCAACCGGCAAAGACTCCTGTGAAATTTGGTCACAAGCAAGTGTAAGTGATTATAACGATCGTCCCACGAATTACAGGGCTCGGGGAATGCAAAGGCCCCCCCACTGCCTAACGCTGTGGGGCAAGGACACCGAAATCCAGAAAACGTGACTTTCCAAGGTCACTTGGGAAATTCCCTTGGAAGAATCTGTTGTATCTGTTAGCTTTTGCTGCATAACAAACAACCCCAAATTTAGTGGCTTAAAATAGCAAAGGCCACGTGCCATCGGTTCGTGGCCCCGCAGAGAATGCCACGGCTGCCACGCTCCGGGGAGGGGGTTCTGGCTGTGGCGCTCGGGTGGTGTGTGGGCTTGAATTGTCCTTGACAAACAGGTGCCGGGCTCACCCCTTCCTGGCTGAGCCCAGGGGAGAGAGCCCGCCCGTCCCCCTACACGCCCTCCTCGCGTCACCCGAGTCCCTCGGCTCCTGCCTTGTCCTGGGGGAGGCGCCGGCTCTCGGCCTCGCTGGCTGGACGTCATTACTGAGGCGGCCGCGGCCCTTTCCCGGCGCCGCCCTGTTGATCTCAGTCCACAGGTTCTCTTTTTCTAGCCTTCGGTGAGCTTTATAATTCCTCTGGAACTTTCCCTAAAGTTGGCTCAACCTTATCTAGGAAAACAGGGCAAACAAACCTAGTATTTGAGTTTGTTTGAAAATACACTGCGCATGACAGGTGGCCTGATAGTATATCTGTGAAAGAACAAGTGATCGTGTCAGCGTGAGAGACGAACGGGGCGGGTCTGTGCATTTGTGTTCAATTAGGATGCTGTTCTCTGTAGGGACTCAAATAGACAGAGAAACGGTGCCCCCCCCCCCCAA